TTGGCGACGCTTAGCTTGGCGGCGCCAATTTCTGATTGCATTTTTGCCGGCCGGGGGGCATCCCTTGCCCCCGGTCCGGTGGTCAGCCTTGCGTCCGGCCGCCGCACATAACGAACAATGCGGCGCAGTCAAGCACACGGCCGCCTTGTGTCCAGGCTGACCACAGCGGAAACACAGTCCGCTGCGGTCAGGCACCTTAGGCACCGCCAGGCACGCGGTTCAAGCAGGCGCACGTGGGCTGCTATCCAGCCCACGCGCAACCTGCCCGGATCCCCCGACGGTCTCCCGGGCGGAGGAGCAGCCAGGGCAACGGCCGCCTCCACCGGGCAACGTACCCACACGGAGCCAGCCCCGGTATAACCGGAGCGCAGATCGCCTACCGTTATATTCTGCAGGGCACAGTTGCCCTGGGCAGCGACGGCCGCCGCCACCTCTTCCCTGGTGGTGCAGTCGTCCAGGCCGGTCACTTTCAATTCGGCCATCTTGACCGGCCTATGCACCCGCACCTCCTCTTCAGGCAGGACCATATGGAGCCTTGCCGCCAGACGCTCCGCGATGCCGGGACTATCGGCAACGGGACATTCTAGCAGTTTGGCCCCATTGGCTGTCTGCCTACAGCGGAGGCCCTACCCGGCCCGATCTCATCCAAGTCAACTGCCGCGCGCGCCCGAGCAATGACATCTCCGTATGTCATGCCCTTGGCTTTGGCAGCCGGCAGCAGCGTTAGGACCACTGCCGCCGACCGCGGCGCGCGCGGTTGCTTCTTTGTTTTTTTTTTGTTTTTGTTTTTAGCGGCTACAGGCGCTCGACCCTGTTGGGGAGCAACCTGAGCCGCTGTGTCCGCTGGCGCTCTACCTACTTGTGCAGATGCCGGTGGAGCCTTCTTGGCACCCCGCCGGGCCACTACGTTCCACCCTTCGTCCATGTTAGACGGGGGCGCAGGCAGCGGACGAGGTTGGGGTGCTTGCGATGGGCACTTCGCGTTGGCGCCCCCCCCCGCTTGGTTCTATCCCGTCCCGGGCCCAACCTAGTGGCCCGTACGGGGGCGGGGCGAGTGGCTGGAGTACCCGACACCGCGGCATATGCCGGTCGCCGAGCGTCAGCCGGAGCAATGAGCTGCGCCTCGAGGGCCGCCAGCCTGCCGTCCAGCCTTTCTAATACAACCTGGACGGTGCGACTAATGACCTCGTCCAGGCTGAATTTTCCAGCCAGCTCCCGTGGCCCTACGAGTGCTTGCTGCCGCTTGGTAGCGGTCATCTCCCTAGTGCGTGGCGACGGGAGACGTGGACGCTGCTCAGCCGCGCGCGGTGGCGGCAGCACAGGCCACCCGTCACCAGTCAGCGCCGGAGAACGGCGGTTCTGAGGTGCTCCGGCGATACATGACGTCGCTGCCGGTACATGGGCCGGAGGAGTTCGCAACCCAGTGGCCCGGGGCAACGCGGGCGACGGCATCGATGCCGCTGCCTTCCTCGAAGCAGAAGCCTCATCATCAGGCTGCTGTTGGGCTTGAAGTAGTGCTCGAAGCCTCGAATTCTCCGCCATCAGCTGTACCACCTGGTCATTGGCGGAAGCAACCGAAGGCAGAACCTTCGAGACCTGCGAGACCACCTCTCACAGCTTACGGCCAGCGGCTTTGGTCTTAGTGCCGTTGGCCGCATATGACTTGACGGTCCTCATGGCCCTGTCTATGACCAAGGCAGGGTCTTGAAAGCCGCCTTCTTCCTCCTCTGTCGTTCGCCCGTCCAGTGAGGCGACAGACATCGACGCCGATGACTGCGCCGGTGACGGCGTGCCCCTCCTCCGGGCGGGTCTTCCTTTTGGGGGCGGCATCTCCTCCGCAGCAGAGGCCGCATCGGAGACTACTAGAACCTTCTCCGGCGGAGCATCTGCGCCAGAGGATGACGTTGGCTCCCCTCCCCCTCGCGTGAGGAAACTCGCTGGGTCTTCCTTTTCCGCCTTATCTTTTTGGCGGTTGTCTCTTTCGAGCCAGCCGCCTCGCTGTCACTGACGAGCCCAGAGTGCGTCAAGTCAGCGCTGGCGTGTCTCTGTTCGACGGGTTTTCCGCTGCCCGTCACACAGCCCCCTTCGTCATGGCAAGCTTTGCCCCCCCCCAGAATACGCGGGGCAGCGTGCTCCCACCGAGGTGGAAGCACGGAGGGATTCTCCACCTAAGGTGGTATCCTCCTGGGGTAAATTTTTTAAAAACTTTGCCATCATTTTTTTTTCCTTTGATATTTAACCAGGGGTCGGTCCCCTGGGACGGCCCTCACGATTGGACTCCCTCCAGCCACTCATCCCATCACCGGGCACGTCACAAGCTTAGGATTAGAGCATTTTTATAGAGGTTCGCATCCTCGCGGCCCCTGCTAAGCAGCGGCCCTCGTCCCCTACTCGGTAGGGATTACGGTATGCTTCTACGAAGCCACGCCGGTAAACCGGTACCCCCCTCTGGAGGGCCTTCCCCTGTAGCTGCCAAGAGGCAGCCGGGGACATGGCAACCAGCGACCGGAAGGGAGTGCCCTCCGGTTCACTTCTCATCCTCTTGGGGTCTGCCATTACTGACAGACCCACACGTCTGACCATGATGTGGCCACGCCGGCGTACCGGTACCCCCCTCTGAAGGGCCTTCCCCTTTAGCAGCCAGAGAGCCGCCGGGGACATGGCCTAGCATCCAAGAGGGCTCCAGAAGGGAGCCCTCGCCGCCTTCACGCACCCTTTGTCCAGCAAAGGTGGGAAAAGGGAACACGGTATGCAGTCTACTTAGTTCGCGGCACCCCTGTGCAGACAACGCTGCTCCACGGTGTTGGGGTGCACGCTTAAGCCCCACCGCCACGACAAGGCGAGACCACGCTTAGTGGGGACCATCTGGTGGTAGCGGAGTTTCGTCTTAAAATAGCAGTTCCTGTAATGCTTATAATAAAGATGCTGAGGAAGTACTAGGGTATATCAGTACAAACAAAAAAACACTGGATGTTGGCAGAGCTTTGGGTAGCCATCGAGAAGAGACAACTTTTGAACGCTCTGCTTCTAGGCTCCCCTTCATATACCATGTTGCAGCAGGAATATTAATCCCTGCGATTGGCAATCAAAAAGCTACCTAGGAGAGACCAGCGAAATGCTATCGATGAGCTAGCAGACCGAGCAAAGTTGGCAGCCAAGAGACACGTCATGAGAGAGCTTTATGATGTCACCAAGCGGACAACAAACAAAATACATCATCCACCGTCCAAACAAAAAACACTGAAAAACTGCAGCAAAAAGGCAGCACGATTTTTTAGAAATGTCTGAAAATCTTGTAAATTAGTTTGTAGTAAATCTTGTAAAGTATCGTTAGACTATTTCATTTCTCTTCCCAGTCACGTAGAGCACCTGAGTCTAACTTACTAGACTCCATATGTATTATGATAATGTCCCAGTGCTCTGTAGGTAAATTCAGCGTTTTTAAGGTCTTAGGTTTCGATTAACTGAATCTATTGTGCTTCTTAAAGCCTTGGAAGATTGTTGAACTATTGGTTGTATATTGACTAATGCTTGTATGTGGTTGTTGACTAAAATTCGATCGTTATGGTATCGATTACATAGCAAATCCCACTCTACGTCATAATTTTCTGCTGAGAATTCAAGGGGTTTAATAATATATGAAGCGCTCTCTTTTAATGTATTTCGTAAATAGTGAAACTTATGAATTTTGGGAATGGTTGTGTTGTCGTGTATAAGGGATTTGTAAGTGTCGTGATATTCTAGCCATTCCTGATAACATCCAGAAAAGATCGACCAGTTTATAGTAGGTAATTTAATGTTTGGCCTACCAGACGGTCCAGTGTTAGTATTAGAACCCGTCACCGACCTGGCATCCTGATCCGCAGAGGCAGAGCTGAGCATCTTCTGCGCAACAGCCATGCAACCGAAGTAGCTGTTCTCGAAAATCTTTCTTTCCTTGTGTTCATCACCTGAAATTTCCACAAGACTTTCTATATCAGTTTATTCAGTCACATTTAGAATTTTATCTAAACAAGCCTTTAATTCAAAAGGTTGTACCTTATTGACATTTTTACTAGGCAAAAGCGAATCTATCTATGTTTTAAATATGATAAGCTTCGCTTTATGACTAGATCTAGTTTTCTTTAGTGATTTAATATCCATCGTGCAAATAACACCAACCGAAATCAATTTCAAATTGTCCAACTGAAAGTAATCAATAATTAGCGTGAGAGAAAAAAATGAAGGATACAGAACAATACTTAAAGCAGAGAAGTTGCAACAGAAGCATTTCGAAACAGAAAGGACAAGGACAGGCGCAACTACAGCGCGCGGCGTGGTCTGGCGTCGGATCGCTAGAATTTATAAAACCAAAATGATTTGCACTGTATTCGTAAAAAGTGGCACAGCACAGCAATATTTCTTGATTTGTTGTAGTCTTGTCTTGAATTTGTATGATTCACGCCGTTTGCCGACGCGCCGCGAAGCAATCCGTGTCTCGAAGTGTCTCGAATGACCTCGCCAATGTCAACACTCCTTTGTTCAGTTTTGTCTTGAAACGATATTCAAAGTCGTATCCAGCTCGAATCTTATTAACGGAGGCTTCTTGAAAATGGACGCGCCAACAAAATTGTGTGTACAAAACGCATACAAAAAAAACGTTTAAATCGGTCCAGCCGCTTACGAGGAGTTCAGTGACAAACACACGCACAGAAGAAATATACACATAAAGATTACTCGTCAATTAAATAGCGTTGGTTAGTTGGTTCCGTTAAAATGTAATTTTTATTTATTTCATAAATGGCTGAACGAACTCACGGCCCACTTGGTGTTTACCACGGAATAGATAAATAAGGTTTACCATATATTATTAATTTATGATCTTCACAACGTTAAACCCCTCCCCACCTCTGATATGAGATATATCTTAGTCTCTGTTATTCCTATTATAATATAACATCGTTCACTCTTCCATGCAATAAAAATTAAGTTTACTATTTTTTTTTTATTAAGGATCTCCAAAAGTAATACCTTATATAAGGCAAGTCAGCGATGCTTGATACTTTATTTTTCATTCCTCTACGAATCATGGCTGAACGCATCAAAGCTGAAGAACGCAGGTAACTATCGTATTTAAGTATGTTTTATATTGCTCTTGGTGGACCCACGAGTTCACAGTCCACCTGAGGTTCAGTGTTTTTTTTTTCCTGCCTATGCTGATAGCCTTGAGAGGCTATTTCAGCTTCACCCTAACGTTAGTAGGTGAGCTCGCGGGGCTCAACCGGAGAGTTGCTAACACTGACCCTAGCAAGAGCAGTGCTTCGTAGAATCTACCACCGGATCGGAAACGCGACCCACTGAGAAGATCCGGCGAGAAACTCAGTGGGCTGTGTCTATGGGTTAGTTCGCTCGTCGAGCCCTTCGTCGCAAGCGACGGGTTCGACGAGGACGGTGACCGGTGCTTGTGGTGCCTAAAAGTACGTTAATGGATCAGGAGGATCCGTAATGACGTGCTTTGGGCGACGTCGACGGTTTACCATTCGGTCTACTGGGTCGGGTATGTAATTTCCAGCGGCTACGATGAGAGGGTTCTCATGTCGTGCCGCCTTCTCAAAATGGCGTAGCGATGCCGACTGCAGATACTTACTAACTGAATCGAGCTCCAGGTCATCGTGGAGATCCACGTTCCTAAGGAACCAAGGCGCTCCGACGGCTATCCTGCAGAATCGGGATTGAATAACCTGAAGGGATTTCAAGTGGGTGCGGGCTACGTGAGCGAACACTACGCTTGCATACGTCATGACGGAGCGTATACAAGTTTTGTAGAGAGTTACCTTATTGCGGAGGGACAGTTTGCTTCGACTACAAAGCATTGGATAGAGTCGTCCTAGAATAAACGCGGCGCGGTCGCGTACCGTTTTTATATGGGGACGGAATGTCATCCCTCTGTCGAGGGTGACGCCTAGATATTTGACCTTCGAGACCCACGG